CCCTTGTCAGACTGTGCTATTATTACAATAAATGAACACCACAAATGAAAGCCAATATTTAGGAATGTGTATAGCAAGAGAGCACCACATACAGTAGTCAAGTGGCTGTGCAATAACAGTGAACATCTTTACAGAAATATCCATATTTTTAGGCACTTTGCTATCATATTTGTAGTGACTGTCCTTCTGGCCAGCTTAAAACTGAAGGCCTCCAGAAACAAAACCTCACAGTTTGTAAAAACAGAACTGTAAGATTTATATTTCCCATAGACTGGGCACAGACCAGTGGGTTCGTAATGTAAAGATAATCTGTGCATTTCTATGGAAATTGGGGTGCCAGAACTAAAATATATCTACATTGTGTAGACACTCTTGCTGACCTTTGGATTATATGTAAATTAAGTTTTATCAATTAATCAATGGGAACCTTGTATTACAAATAAGTTGTCATTTTTCTCTGTTCAGGAGAAAAGAACAGTGCCTACTGTATGTGAAATCCTAATGCACTCCTGGAAAATCACCACATAGGCAATTAATTTGTTTAATAAGTTTTGTAAGCCTGGGATATTTTATGCTGACCAGCCAAGGGGGTTGTCTCTCCTTGAAAAAAGGGAACCCTATATTTTTAGGTCTGTGATGTTTGCAGCATTTATCTTTAACATAATCCTGAACACATGTTGCTTGCCAGCAGCAAGGGATATATATTATATATATATATATTCTTTTCTGAGGCTGGGGGCTGAGATCTGCTCTGGCAATGACTTCAGCCACCACCCTCCCAGAAGAGATGCTACAAATCAACTTCAGCACCAGGACATGAAATTGTATTAACAGTAATTATGTTCCCTGCTCCCAGGAAGAGACCTGCCCTTGAAAGTCTTCAGCACACCACCAAAGGAGCATCTGTCAGGCTAAGCATCTTCTGCATTCTTCTGTTTTGCAGCAGACTACCACACCAAATTACTTGTGAGGGATGTAAAAGCCTTATTCAGGCATACTTCAACCTCAAAAAATAAAACTCATGTGAAATAACTGGTTATTTGCCTAAGAGCAAGAGCCCCTCACTGGAGTGTGGTCCAAATTAAAATGTTTGATACAGAAACAGATTTCTTACAGTCATGTGGCAAACAAATGTATATGCACAATAGGAGACAGAAATAAAGTCCTTGAGCTGGGGTATGATGTTTCCAGTCCCAGAGTGCACAGATGAGAGTCCTGTCTCTGGCTGCTTCCAAGCCAAGTCACCTGGCCTGAATGGCTGCTTTTAAACACCCGTGTCCCAGCCTGGGCAGGGCTGTCACATGGGGTGACTCCGCACTGGCTGCAGAGAGACGAGCAAGAGACAGGGCAGCACTGGCAGCTTTTGTAGTCAAGAGTAGCACAGTTAACATGAAGTTCTGGAAAGCAGACAATACCAGAGAGAGCACTCTGTGTCACAGCTTTACACATGCAAACCATTTATCCAGCATCTTATAGAAGCACCATTGAGAGGTTGAACTGAGAGCACCGCGTACACAGGATTGTGTTCAAACCAGAGGACAGGAGCTGTTCAGGGAGCCATGGAGAAGCATGCAGCCCCTCAGGATGGATTCCTTGAAGGCACGATGGATGAGGGCTTGGAGGCAGCTGGTCACCAGCCAGCTGAAACTATGGAGATGAGCCAGCTCTGGGTTACTCATGAATATGAATCCCCACACCTACTCATCCCTCACCCCATGGATCCTGCTACATGTAAGCAAGCCTGCAATTTATATGAATAGAAAGACTGAAGCAACAAATTTTTCACAGTTGACATGAACACCACCTCCCTGAATGCTCACTATTGTAAAAGCTAGGTTCTTCAAAAGAAGACTGATAATTCTTATTGCAAAGCTTGGTCATCATAGCTACATTACTGGGCTTTTTTGTGAATGTTTGTGAGTGACTATTGCTATTGTAGGGCTAACTGAGGTCTAGTTAACTGAGTTAACATTAAAGGTGTCTCTATAAAGATGTTTCCAAGTTGGGACAAGTAAACATTGGGGTTGTCCCTTTATACTTTAGAGTTAAACACATACAGTATGGAAAAGAGTATGGAAGTACTAGCTACTTTGTAGAAAAGGCACTATAACTGATCTAACTGTGGTAATTAGGTACATGCCCATGCTACAGGTATCTGCAAAGAATTTATTTCTCTCTGTGACTGAGAAAATTATTCTACATTTATGGTAGAACAGGATGACTGGTTTACATATTGGATTAGCACTGGCTAGGTATGTGGTAAGAACAACTTTCACGGAAGACACAGATTCATGGAAGAGATGTCTGAACTGCATTTCCTATTTTCTACCAGTTCCCAGAGGGAAATCAAAATGACCTTTTCACTAGTACAGTTATATACACATTACAGCTTCTGTTGGCCTTACTGTGGCAATTTGCTGTGAGATCTTATTGTACAGTTGTGCCAAAAAAAGGAAGCAAAGAAATAGACTGTGAATCTTCCCAGAAAACATCACCAGGTAACAAACACTTCATTTTGGATGTTGAAATTTTATTTAGGGATGTGGTGAAAGAATTAAAAAGAGCAGTAAAGAGACAAGTAGAAGAAACTCCCTTTTCTTTACAGTCAGATGAATCTCTTTGGGGATTACTGCTGGAAAAATCTTTCTATCAAATATATTAACGAAAAGGAGGCATTGACAGCAGCCATAAAGGAACAGGTATTACTTCTGGGAAGAGGGAACTAAACCAGAACATTGATTCATTGTCAAGAAATGTAAATACTCACTTACCAACCTTGGTCTGAATTCTAAAACATTTTCATTTAGCATTAAACTACATAATGGTGATTGCAGGGGAGTTATGGACTCCCCCATACATCCTTGTTCAGGAGGGTAATTATTTTTTGCAGCTTTTAAGTCCAGTGTGTGTGGGTCTCAAGGCTGAGGGCAGGTACACGTCCCAAAAGCAGCAATCCAAAATGTGAATTGCTTCTCCATGAGACTGGGGTCTGATGAACCATTAAAAGGTTGTGACCAGTCTGAAAGTAATTGAAAGATGAAGGAATGTGCCACTGCCACAGCACAGCAAACATGGTACCAGCTCCCAGTGCAAGGCTGTAGGAGACAGGTTAAAGACAGAAACCAAAGAAAGAAGAGAGGGGGAGGAAAATTTTTCTTTCACTGTGTAAAAGGGAAGCCTAGGGGGCCTCAGGAGCAGTTGTCAGAACAGAGGAAAGAAAGGACGGAAGGACTCGTGTCCCTTCCTACAAAGCAACATTTCTGATCTGGCTGTGAAAGACAACAGAATGACTGGACAGTCCTCCACCATCCTTTGACCTGCTGGTCTCAATGGGAGTATTTCTAGAGTGATGTTTGCTTTTCTTCTTTTGCACCTTAAAATTTTACAATCAAGAATTCAGGGCTATTCTTTGCTAACAACTGACATTATCTCAAGATATCTTGAAATTGAATCTAGTGAACCTGGCAAACCTCATGTTCCTACTGTTTCTCCAAAAGCAGTCATCCATGTAAAAGGATAACTACACCTTGAGATGCATTTGGGAATATCAGGAGTTGAAGTATGCCTGCCACTAGACTGCAGGAGTCAGACTGAGGACTACATATATAAACTGGTACCCCTGAGCAAGGAACAGACAGCAAACACATAGTTAAAGACTAGAGAAATTCTTCAGACTTAGCATGACAAATCTTCTGAAAAATGGTGCATCTTATCTTTGGCCTTAAACAGTGTGAAGAAGGAGAGAACATTCAAAGGTGAACTTCATGAATTCACATTCAAGGAAACAGAAACAAAAAATTTTATAAAGGGAAAACCTCCAGAAAGCAGAACCACAGTCATCCTTAAAAAGCACTGAAGTGGAAGCAAAGGGTTTGCTGCAGCTGTCAAAACATGGCAGCATGGTCAAGAACAGGATGGAGTGGTCTGAACTGCTTCTCCTTCAAGGAAGAGTTAGAGATCAGAGTGTGCTGCACTGTTGCACAAGGTCAGGATCCACAAAGTTTGAACCACCCAGTGGGCAGAGGCTGACTGCACAACTGCACTGCTCCTCAGAGCAAACTTGCAGGCAAAGCCTGTAAATCAGCACACTTCTTTGTGTAACCAGATCTATAGTACCAAGTCATATTGAGAACTGACCAAGGACCCGAGAAGGGTTCAACCTTCAAAACCCAGTACCAATTGAGCTGAAAGTAAACCTGTTTTGTTTACTACAGAATAAGCCAACCTCAGTTTATGTACTGTTTATTTTGAATTAAAAATAAACTGCTCTTCAAGCACATGCCAGATATTACGTATGTGAATGTTGCCAGCTTGGACTATAACTTATACTTGTGTCCAAATTACAAGTGTATGCTTATATACATGGGGATATGTGCACATGCATGTCACACAATGCTAGTTCTTTACCCTTGGACTATTCTTGTACCATGGTACTATTTATTGTATTATTCTTGAAGAAAAAAGGTACCAATCCAGTACCTGCTTATTTCATCCAAGCATTGCACTTTGTTTTTCACAGTAACAGAATAATTCAGCATTTTTGAAAAGCCAGTGGCTTTCAAACTGTTTTTCAGAGGCCCAAGTAGGTCTTGGTTGCCCTCCTGCTCCTTTTAGCAGAAGAACAAGGAGGACCAGTGGCTATGCCTGACTAAATCCCACTGTCCCTTTTGCCTCTTTTTTGCCCTTTGGCAGTGTTCTTTTACATAGACTCCATAATTTTAGCTTAAAAACAGCAAGGCATGTTCCATTTCCCTGCTCAAGGAGACAGAAAAAGTCAACAAAACAACCCCAAAGCAATTTTCATTTATCTACTTTTGAAATAGGAAAAAAAAAAAACCAAACCAAAAATCATACCCAAATAAAGAATGGGATTCCTCCTGTTACAAACCCTAGTAAGTTAATCTATAAAAACTTTGAAGATGAAAAATATGTTGTAAAAAAAATGTATTACCCACTGAACACAGTACAGAATTTTTCCTATATAAGAAACTAGACAAACATTAAAATAGTTAAGTCTTTAAAAAGGGCAAAATTCTGCAAAAAAAAATTACTCAACACTACTAAGGTTAGATTATACACATTATGCCAATGCATTCAATTGCACAATTTTTGCAACATGACAATGGTCTGGGGTGTGTGTATGTACATGTTTATGCCCATTTGAGGGAAACAGTGCAAGAATGCTAAGGGTGACCATTGCCATTTTAAAGGAATATTTCGCAAATAATCAAACAAAACCCCTACAAATACCAGTACACATCTCAAATACTGAAAGTCACATTCTACAGCCCTTGACATAAAAAAAGAAAAAAGAAAAAAGAAAAAGCCAGCAGAATTAATTCAAGTACATTTGGAGTCAGTCCCTTGTGAACTACTGTTGTTTGCACTTTAGTTGCAGTGAAGGTGGCCAGAGCTCCCCAAAAGACATAGAAGTGAATGCATCTTCCCCAGCCCCACAGAGTAAGTCTGAGTTGAGGTACAATTATCCGTGGTTTGCTCAACATTGCAGATGCCAAAACTTGAATGAAAAATTATGCTTGAAAAACTTTGAAGAAATTTACATAAAATAATCTCTTAAAATGAGAAGCTAGTTTTGTGTAAAGGTAGTCTTTTTGGTATGTAATCCTATCAGGACAACAAGCATGGCACTCCTTCCCAAATTACGCTTGCCTTGGAGCTAATAGCAATAAAGAAACCTTTACATTTTCCTGGTCATCTTTCTGACCTGATGTACCCTTTCCCATGAGCCTTGATCCACCACCCAGAAAAACCAGCAGGTATCACACCCTGGCCGAAACGTACATTGCTTCTTCACAACTTGTGTTCCACAGGAAAAGCGCTTCCCTCTCCACGTTTCATTGTCCTTCGAAAATTACAGCGTGGGAATCCGCTGCAGGAGCGGTTAAAGTCTGGTGAATTCCCTGTGGTGCTGCAAGTCCCCTATGCTCTCGTAGTCGCTCTCTCCTGAGAGAGCAGTGTGGTTTGTGTTGGGCACCACCAAGGTCCTCTCTTCCTCTTGGCTCACTGCCTGGATAGCTTCATAGTCCGGCTCCAGCTCCCCGTTTGGTCTGTCCGCTGTCTGAGGCACAGTGGTGGAATTGAGGGTGTTTTCAAAGTCCTTTACACTTGCATAGAGGCCACTGCAAATGGAGGGGGACCTCTGAGATGCAATTTCTTGAATGCAGGTGTAAGGAGAATCCAGTGCCTTGATGGCCTGTCCCGGCTTACTCACCGATGAGTACATGGCTGAGATCTAGGAAAAGGAGACATCTGCTGAGTATGGAGCATGGCACAGAGCTTGTGCACCAGTCTGTACCCTTGTACTACAAGGATGCTGGTTTTTAAGAAAAGACAGGATCTTCTGATAAAAAGATATCCATTCTAAAATGATGTGATTTTTTCTGTGGGAAAAAAACCCCAACTATTTCTTACAAATCCTTCCTTTTTTGGCATGCATTTATAGATGGTTTTCTTTAAAAAAAAAAGAATGCTTTATAAAGTAAGTTTATAAATGTAAAACTTCCTTGAATATAAAACCCTGGCAAGAAATTTAGAACTGGGCAAAAGGGAATGGCTTTGTAAGCAGGAGGTCTTGCAAGTTTTATTATGGTCCTGGAGTCAATTTAGATTCAACAGGGAGAGAGGCATCAAAGGGAGGATCAGATTGAACTGCTGTAATGAAGGATGCTGTCTGATCCTTAGGGCTTTAAAAATTATTATTGTTACTATTTTTAATGGTAGTGGCTACTTTTCTGCTTTTAGAGACACTGCAATAGAAGAACAGTTAATTAATAATTAATAGTTAATTGTTTTTGTAGGCAGGACTAAATAGGCACCATGAAGACAACATTAAAGTGTGAAGACAACATTAAAAATCTGTAGATAAATTACTCAGACCAGATAATAGCAAGTAGTGCCAATACTGATATGCCAGGTCTGCTCTGTTGACTACACTTTGCCTACAAAGAAGAGCTGCTTCTCAGGCATTGAGTATGTGAACTTTAGACTGGAGACTGAATCCTCTCAGCTGTGAACAGCAGAAAGGGAGCCAGCATTTCATTCCTGACTAAAAGTTTCCTCTGGTGAGGTGGTACAATTCAACAAGTGCATGAAAGTGGCCCTTCATGAAAAGGTGAGAAGCCCACATCAACACATGTCCCTCTGCTCAGGGATTACCTGGGCTGTTGCCAAGCACAGGAATCAGTCTTAATTTCCTCTCCCAGGCCAAATGGATACTAGCCCTTGCACAAGACAGACGGCTGAAATTCCCTGCACAGCTTCTCTGGTACCCAATATCACAATGCAACATAGCTCTTCCATTACACTTGAAGTTCTTTCCCAAGCATGCAAAGCCATTCTGGGTTTGCATCAATCCAGTTAAAAGAGTAGATTAGCATAAAAACGTCCATTACCAATAGGCAACACAGACTGAAGCAGACAAACCAGACCACTTCTGATAATTCTGGGATTTTTGTGTGTGTGTGTTTGTGTGGGGCTGGGTTTGGCTGGTTGATTGGTTGGTTTGGGTTATTTTGGTTTTGGTTTGGTTTGGGGTTTTTGGGGCTGGTTGGTTTTTGTTTGTTTGTTTTAGAGGGAAATCATCTTGAAGATGGCAATACTTCTTACTCTTTACTGATTTCAGCTAACAAAAAATGGTTTTTCTGCTCATCTGTACTTCAACTCTTCTCAGTATTAGATTACATTAACCCACTTCAAGGTCAGGTTATTCATTAATGGCTGGGAGTGCTTCTCCCAGCAGAAGGCATTAGCTCACCTAGCTCATTGCCAAGTTTGTGTTTAGTTTTATGTCCAGAAAACATATTTATAAATGGCATGGGTGTACTGGAGATGATCACAAACAGCCTTATTTATGTTTAACTTTTCTCTTTGTTTAACTCTCCTCCATTTATCTGACCAACAGACAGTTGGCCATAAAGAACAGTTTATGTTCCAGTGCTTTTATTGTGCTTCAGCTTACTTCCCAGAGCCCCAAACACTTTGCATGGGGAAGGTGGAGCATATGTTTCAAAAGGCTGCTGGTTATTCTTCTTGAGAAGGTCTTGCCATCCAAATCAAGAAACTACCCTAACAATCAACTAATTGTGGCTTCCTATTGTTTTCTGAAACTACCTTTAACCTATGGGCCTGAAACAACCATACGTTAGAATACCTCTGATTTTAGGAATGGTTCTCTGTGCAGAGAACCTTGGGCTTTCATCTTCCTTTCACACAGGTTTCACCTTTCTTGGATTCTGCTTAATCACCCAGAGCTTATGCTAATTTGTGCCTAAAAATTGGTCTCTAGTTAGTTACTGAATTTCATGCAAGAAACCTACCTCATCTTCTGTAAGAGATGGATCTTCCTCTCGAGACTTGTAAGACACTGAACTAAGCCTCTGTAAAAAAGGAAGAAAGAAAGAAAATGAAAGGCTCATTACCCATCAACAGTGTGAAATCTATAACAAAACCCTCCCATTATAATCAATACATTATACTTTATGGTCATTTGCTCTCAACCTCCATTATACATAGCTAATACCCCCACTATTCAGAGTACTTCTCTGGAGATTACAGCCCTGAGGTTGGTAAAGCTTTTTTAATGTATCTGCTGTTATCCTGACCTGAAAAGGGTAAAAATAATGTAATGGTTAAAAAAAATCACTGCACCACTGTATCCCTGCCTTTACACCTCTTATGAAGTATCTGCAGAGGCTTCTGAACAATTAGAAGTCAGCTGTTGTGATACACCAGTTGCCCTTTCACGGGATTTTCAGATACACTTTTAGATGACAGAAGAACAATAGTCAGCTGACACCTTCTGGATGATTGTTACCCTTCATTCTGTACATCCTGGTCGTGCTGCATGGGAGAGCTGTGTCCTCCACCCCTGGAATGCAGTTCCTGTGCAGAGGTGCTCAGCAGCCCAGCCTCACAACCACTCAGAGCTGCTGCAGCCCACCCTGAGCTGGAGCCAGGTCACACAGCAGAGTCACTGAAGGATGAAGGGCTTGGTTTGGTATCAAGTCTAATTTCAAGCATTTAAAGTATTCTGTGTAAAACAGGTCATGAAACATCAGGGGAAATGCATTTTGCTCTTATGAAAATCATCTTCAGACCTTCACAACAACAAAGCCCTGCTGCTGCACAGCAGCTGTGGGATGCCTCCTCCCTGGGCCAAGAAGGCTCTGCTGGACTCCTGCTCCACAGTGATTCAGAGGGAGCCTCCAGCACTGTAAAAGGCTGTATTTTGGACTTTCACACAACTTCTCCAACTAAAAAACTTCATACCACCTCCAGTGCAATTCAGCATAGTTAATAAAATACTACTTCCAGGCACACAACTTGTTTTTTTTTTTTTTTTTTTTTGGTTTTTTTTTGTTTGTTTGTTTGTTGTTTTTTTTTTGTTTTTTTTTTTTTTTTTTCTCAGAGGCTCATTGTGATAGATTCTTTCCTCCTTCCATTTTCTTGTTGTTTTTACTTCTGGTAAATACCAAACTCCAGGTTCCTGGCACTTCTGACAGACCCTGGCCCAAAGTACACTGAAGTTCTGCCGGCTGCACCCAAAGAGTTTCCCTCACACTGACAAGCTCCCTCACTTATTTCTCACTGACTGGAGAACAGTGCTCTGTAATCTGTGGTTTGTTTACTCTTAAAAAAACCAACCAACCAACCAACTGAAAAAAAAAAACCCAAAAAACCAAAAGAAAAAGGAAAAGTTCAAATATATTTTGGCCTTGTATTAAATCTGCTTCACTACAGCAACTTAGTTTAGTCTTTCCTATCTGCATCCAAATCTGCTGGGGAGTAAGCTACTAATTTCATCCTCACACATTAGAACAAGCATGTGCGCATAAAATTCTTCAGTGATTTTTCTGTCATCAGTGTGTCTATAAGCACCATGTGTCAGGACCCCTTCTACAGTTTCCCACTCAAGTATGACAAATACACCAGGGTGTTTGCCATCCTGTGCTGTTCCCCTGACACAGCATTCTTTCTTCTAAATGTGAAGCTTGTGACACATCCATTTTGGAAGATATTGTTATCTTGGAAACTTAAATCCCGCTTGCCCCTCAACATTTTGTACCTAGCAACATTTTAAACTAAGGTGAAACCTCAACAGTAGCAACACAAACAACATGTGTCCTTATTTGCCTTCTGCTTTCTTTTTGTTCCTCAACAGCACTTGATATTTTGCTCTTTGGCTCAGCTGCTGCTCCTGACTTGGGCACAAGAACAAGAACATTCTCCTCTGATGCATTTGTAAGAGATGCTTTGCTCATCCTCAGACTGTGCAAGGCTGAAATCAGATGGCAGCAGCTGAATGGACACAGAGATAGCACTTCTACCACTGCTCACTCTGGAAAGACCTGGGTGAAAAAGGAGATTCATACTTCTTTTTTTAAATAAAGAACTAAAGAAATCTATTCTGCTTTTTCAGTTTTATTAGAAGAATGATGTTCAAGGTTTTGCAGGTGACAGAGGCCTGTAAGAGGGCCTTGTGCTGTTAAAAGTGTCTTTCTTCCCAAGTCTTTCCAAAGGATTTGGCTGGGTCACAGCCAAAAACCTGTTTAGGTAAATTTTCATCCGTTATTGCACAGCTGGCTCTTAAAAGGGTGCTTTGTAGTTTTCATGCTGTTATATACAGGAATGGTCTCTGGCTTGGTCCACCTAGTTCACTCCCAGACTGGAGTGCTTCAGGGACTGGCATGGGCTGGGCATCACCCTGGCTGCCCTCTTTTAGACAGTGAGACTGAGACAGCTTGGACACAGTCTGTTCTCTCTGCTGGCAGGTACAAGCCTTGGTTACACAGGTGTCTCCCTGCCTGTCCCTTCTGTGTGCCCTCATCATAGTGAGGGAGACTTGCAGGACGTACACACAACCTCTGTTTTCATCAGGGCCAGGGCAGAAGGTTGAAGAGTTTGGGATACAGATGCCATGCTAAACAAAGCAGCTAAGTAGACTCATGGAAAGGAAGCAAAACCAGGAACACCTATGAGTCTAACTAAAAGAGTTATCAGTGTAACATACATTTCCATGAACATCTTCATTCTGGTTGCCACATCGAAAAACCAGGCATTGCTCTGCATTGCTTGAGGCAGCAAAATACAGGGAAAAACTATCATCATCACAACAGAAAAACAATCCCCCAGCCCCCTCCCCACACAATGCCAACAATAATGACATTTATATATTCCATCAATTACCATCTCCAGCTCTGCTGCAGCTGTAGCTCTCAAGGACAGGACAGGCACACCCCGATGCATAATGCATGTACCCAGCAGTGTGCACAGCAATGATCTGATGCTGCCCAAGATTTAACTCAGGGTGCCTTCAGCTCTGAATAAATTTTAATTAGACAAACACCTTTTTTTCTGGCACTTAGGGGACTGCATGTGTCATCTCTTGATTAATCCTTCAAAACCTGAACCATTTTAATCAATTCCCACTCCTGGCAGTTACTGACACGGCATACACGGTGTGCTGGGGAGCTACAGAGCAGCAAAGGCTTTTCCTTTGTATTGGTGCCTGGGAAATACAATTACTTTCTGCTAGTCTTTTCACACCTGGTAGGGAAAATATCACTTTTACACTAAGCTGTTTATCTAAAAGTTTAATTAGAAATTACTTATGGCTGGAATGTGGGAGGGGAGAAAGTTTCTGGATTATTGTTGACAGTCACATCTTAATTTTTTGCTTAATGAGCTCATTGTTGTAAAAATGTGCACTGAAGAGTCTAGCTATGCAATTTTTATACTGCAAGAAGTCTTCAGCTTATTCATTTAGACTATATTGTGCTTTACAAGTTACATGCTTAGTTATTTATTTAACAAGATACTCTTCTGCCTTCTTCCTGGATTATTGAAATTCTTCATATAAGAGAACAACCAAAACCAAGTAACAGTGCCTCAGCTCTGCTGTGATTTTTCACATAAATGTTTACATTAAAAAGTCACATTGCATCTTAAGAATTTTTTTGAAATTTTCATCAATATTAAATATTATATATTTATACATATATATGTATATTTATTTATATATATATGTATATATATATATAAATACCTAATATTATTTGATGACTCAGACACCAAAAATCTGCTAAACCTACAGTTCTTTCATTCACAATCAATAAGAAGATATCGAAATATTCTGAAAAATGCAAACTCAACAGTTTATGATAAGTCTCTGCTATGATCTGAAAGCACCCTTATAATGACTTCCGATAAAAAACTATAAATGGGAAAAGAAACTGTTGAAAATATCATAATTTTATATTTCAATGAATTTACCACAACTCATTCCTAGGGAGGAAGCATAAGCTGCTGAGAAAACTTAACTTTTGGCTGTGATTTCAGCACTTAGAAATTCCTGACACTCTGTTTATATGTGACATGCAGAATTTGACAAATATAAAAGCATACAGCTGCAATCTCTCTCTCTTTCTATCCCTCTCTCCTACAGCAAAAGACAAAGTGAGTGCATAACACTTGCACAGCTAAGTCAAAGTGGCCCAACGAAAGAGGCACATCTAAAGTAAGGACATCCAACAAGGATTCTCCCCTCTCCTTTTTGTAAGTTGCAGTTTCATTAGAAAAAAAAGGACAATATATAGATGGTGACAGAGATACTGGATGCCCTTTGTAATAGCTTCCACAAGTATAATACCATCAAACAAAGAAGCAGAAGCCTCCTATGCAATTCCTGGATAATATTTGGGAAAAGGCTTTTGTATTGCATAGCTGCAACAATCAAAAATACAGGCAGCAATAGAATGAGCATATACCTCTAACACAAAGATTCTACTATACATTATCATATTTCCATTTACAGTCTTGCTTCATCTTGAGTGGGGTTTCTTTCTTGTTATTATTTATTACTGAAAAATAAAATCCTCTCCCACCCATATGTTCTCAATCATTATTTGGCTGTTTGATGAGGACAAATATTTGTAGTATTTACCTTTTCTGGTTTACTTGCTCCTTCTGTCACTTCTTCTTCCACTTCTTTTTCTTGCACATTTTCATTTTCATCAAGAAGTTTCATGGGTACTGGAGGGGGAAGCTCATCCTCTACATCTGGTATGTTGTCAAGAGGACTTTCTGAATTTGCACTTTGGCGACTCTTCTTATTTCGGTCAACAGATGCATATTCTGCTGACTCAATTCTGCACTCAGGAATCTGGCTCTGACCTTCAGAAACTGTCAGTGAAGCCTTTGATTTGCTGCTAGAGCTCCCTTCCATGCTGACTACTGCTCCAACATCTTTAATTTCCTTCACAGTTTCATACAAGCAGTCTTCAACTATGTTCTCCTGAGAGGAGCTGTCTTTCAAGACTTCATAAGGCCCTTCCATTCCAAGACCTTGATCATTTTCTGCATTTCTAGATGAGATTATAGTTTCCATGGGGTTGTTAGGGGGAATACTGGGTAGCTCCCGGCTCTGGTGACATTTTATAGACTTTCCAAGGGTATCCTGTTGATCTAGTAGATCAGATGTCTGTACTTCTTCATAAGGCTGGATACAGGCAGCTGTACTGTCCTCAGAAAGAACTAAAGAAAATTACAGAGAAGTATTACAAACAAAGGCATAACTAAAAGGTGTGATTTGGTACTCTCTACATCACTTTGTTTTTGTGACATGCTGGAAAGGATAAATGATGCTAATGCCTGGAAATGCCTAGTGATTAGCATGCATTTTGCTTATCAGAAGGTTTCAGTTACAGACATTTCTGCACTCTACTGGTAAAATGTCTTTCTCACAACATCTAAAATAGTCTGTACACCCCCAAGTCACATTATATGGCAACAGCATTCACTGTCAGAACAGGGGGTGGGATATTCAGCTGCCTTGTACTCAGTTTCACTGAATGATTACAGAGTGCTCAATAGTCTCAGATGGGAAACAGGTGGGAGGCCTCAAATCAAGTGCCTTAAAAAAATCCTTGTCAGATTTTCCTCTTTGCATTTCCCCATCCTTTGGAATCAAAAGGAAAGCGTTCCTTCTTCCTCCCCACCATCCTCCAGCTTGTTTAACATGCTGGCCCAGTTCTGGTTGGAGCTGCACTTTGCTCAGCCCTCCCTGCAGGCTCCAGCAGGAGCTCCCCACCGAGGGCTGAGCCATCCTTCTCTTAGTCTCGCAGCACATAATGCTGGTTGACAACCTACTAACGAGCTGGCCATATGCACAAGAGACAAGACTAGACTTCAGGAGGTAGTGGCAGGCAGAACATGTTGTTTCAGGTCCCAGAAGTGGGCCACATGTCACTGTCACTAGAGGAATGAGGGACTGAAATGTATGGGGCTTCTCATCTCACAGCACACGTGTGACATTTGCATGCATTCATGGGCATATACAAGCATGTTTCAAGCACGGTAGGTAACTTTACCTCACACTATTTCTTTAAAAAATCACTTCTGAACAGCTTTACTTTTCCTAGTACAGTTCCTAAGGCACTATCTCAACAAAAACAACCCATTCTCTGTGTCCTTCAGTGTGTTTGACATGGTGACAGAAGCATTGCCAAAGCAATCGATGCCCTTGATTTGGTGGTTGCCATGGACATTGCTTTCTCTTGTGTTCAGGACATGCAGACACAGTCAGCACCTGCAGGGAGCCATACCCTGACTGCAAAACTCAGGACAGAACTGGAGGTGTGAGATGATAATCACTGTCTGAATGGGAGATAGGAGTATTGCCTTTCTGCTCCTTGATTCTAGGGATTTCTGTGCTGTGCTGAGCACCCTTACAGAACCCAGAAAGCACACGCTCCATTCAGGCTGGAGGGGATAATCAAAAGCAATGAAAGCTTAAGTTTCTGTATTTTTGTGGGAATGGGTGGTAGCACAGAAGGGGTTGGTGTAGCTGAAGGGTTGGCATAGATAAGACAATGCTGGCAGGTTGGGTAAAGGAAAAAAACATAGCATTTGATGGTTCTTCTTCCATAGCCCTGCCCCTGCTCAAAAAGCTAGCAGAAACAATAATAAAAAGAACTATTAACAAAAAGTGCATAAATTAGAAGTAAGAAATGGAAGCACAGGGGTTTGGGTTATTCAGAAGGGCTGTTATGCAGAGTGTAAGCTGAGTATAATATCAGACAGACAGTCTGAAAACTGTCTGCTGGTTGATAGCACACCTTTTAGTAGCAGCTCTGACAGCTGCACATGTGGTGACTCATGGCAGAGAGAAATACTTCCATTCTGAAGGGCCTTGCTCTGCACATCAAGTCCCTCAGGGAAGCACACACCTACATACACAACAAGCCAATGGATGGGAACAGCAATTAGCTGCAAAAACAAAGTTTAAAAATTACTTTGGTTGCTTGTCTCTAAGGGGTAAAGTCTGAATAGCTTAGCCTCTGGTTGCAGGAGATGAGGAGAGAGCTGTAAGTTGGAGTGCAGCCCCTGGTGTTGGTGTTAGTGTGAAGACAACAGTTGGCTCCCAGTGGCTCTGAGCTGAGAGTGAGTTTATTTTTAGGTGCAGCTGAGTAAAATATCTTCCAGTGATACTTCAGGGTGAATCATTTTGAGTGTTCAGCAAAGCAAAGACTAAGGAAAAAAAAGGAAGCCTATTTATGTTGCCTGTTTTCTAAAATATAAAAATGTAAGTGACAGCACAGCACAGGACTGTGATCCAAAGCTGTAATCCCTGGAGGAGGACATGAAATATGTCCCTAGGTTCCTGGAGCACTTTTGAAACTCTAAGGTGGGTGCAGCTTCATCTTCTGGTTTTATGCCAGTTCCATAGCTTACCAAGGTTAGGGAAGGTCCCATTCTCTGCCTGATGACCTGGTCAATCTGCAGGTATGGCTTGGTGACCCAGACCTGGTGGCCCAGGAGAGGACCTCAGCAGCTCCCAGTGCTGGGAGCAGCAGTGTGGGGCTGTGCCAGAGCACACCCAGGAGCGTGTGGATGCCATGGGAAAGAGAGAGAGAAACACAAGTGTTCCCACAGCAGCTTGTGAGAATTTTCAGGGAGTTGTAAGAATGTAATAACTTGTTAGTATAAACAATCTGCAGGTGGTGTTTTTCTACTTTGTCTTTCTGTTCTTCTCAAAGATGGTGTATGAGAAAGGTGTTTTTGTTAACCAGCCAATCAAACAGAGTGTATCATTTATTATCATTTTAATATAGTTTTTTATCATTTTATTATCGTTTATTATCACTCTATATTATTACCGTTTATTATCACTCTATGTTATTATCGTTTATTATCACTCTATAAAAACCACGTGGTTCTTTAGAATAAAGCCTTCTTTGCTCTTTCTGCAATACTGCCTCTCCCCTGTTCCTGTGTCATTCTCAACACAAGAGTAACAGGAGTGGAGATGCAGCCTAAACCACCCAAATCTCCATGAGATGATCACCTCCACTGACCTCCAAGCAAGGCAAACGACTCCATGGCATTTTTTAACTTGGCTGTGAGGTCTGTGTGATCTGCTGTCAGCCAGCAGAGGTGTGCAGAGTATTCTGACAAACGGCTTGCCTGTGTGCTTGGAAAGCTGCTGGCTGAAAGCCTGAGACCTGAGGGATCAGCAGCGTTCAGCTGAGGAGGGAGCTTGGGCCCCTGGCTCATCCCACCCGCAGGGGCTGCCCGGACTCACCCTCTCCGTTGCTGAGGGCTCCGTTCTGTTCGCTGTTTGGGGGAGGCTCCGTTACAGAGCTGGTGATGGAATGGCTGAACACCTCCTTCTCAGAAGGCTGCAACACAGATCAGAGACCCCCAGATCACAACCAACATTCACATGAATGCACACACAACGAATTGCATTCCCATCTCTGGGGCTCTGACCCACAGGTATTACTGGCAGGAGAAGCAAACCATGCCAGCTAGATTCAAAGATTTAAGTGCTGTTAAAAAGAAATAAATGCCAAGATGTCCAGAGTGATGCCCTTTTCAAGCTTTTTTATGGTACTAGACATTGCTATGGCTTCACCCATGAGAAGACAGCAGCTGACAAAGGGTACACTGCCTTGGGCTGCAAATGGAGTGAAGGGAAGGCTGGAGTACAGTGGTGGCAGAAAGGGCACTGAGAAAGTGCAGATTATCAGGATCTACACGAGTTTTCCTCCTCTTCCCATTCTGCAACTTTTAAAGTTTCCCATGCTCAACCATCTCAAAATTCCTGAGCTATTTTCTAATCTGTTGTATTTTGCAAGGAGCTTGGTACAAACCAACCACAAGACAGACAAAAGCTGCCAGAAATAAATACTTACCACATTCATCAGATTTTCATGATCTCCATTCTGACTTTTTGCCTTCTTTTCCCTTAATGAAAAAGACACATGAATTTTTACTACAAATTATGCTAATATACAAATACCAATCATTCATAGACCTTACACTCCTGCAGGGAACAGAACTATGATTCACAATAATATTGAACATGGAATAACTGAAAATTATTACAGCAATTGGTATGACCTCTGTGTAAAAACACCATTGAGGCAGAATGGTGATAAACATAACTGAAGAGGTACAACAAACACACAAAACCTTTCTTCTCACTCAATGTAAGATCACAGTGAGAAGTGACTGATGGTTATTACAATATAATATAAATAATGATGTAGAGACAGGACATGGGGGAATGGCTTCAAACTGAAAGGGAGTAAGTTTAGATTAAATATTAGGAAAACATTCTTTACTGTGAGGGTGGTGAGACACTGGAACAAATTGCTCCTAGAAGTAACTACTGGTGGATGCCCCATCCCTGGCAGTGTTCAAGGCCAGGCTGGATGGGGCTCTGAGCAATCTGGTCTAGTTCCCTGTGACAGGGAACCAGATGATCTTTAAAGTCCCTTCCAACCCAGGCCATTCTATGATTCTATGATAATAAAAATATAATTCTTTAATTTAATCATATCTGAAATTCTCAGATGTACATTCTGGTTACAGACTACTTAAGAAGTCCCTTAAACTGTGTCAGAAAAAAAGTGTGTATCCTGTGAGGAATTAGAAAAGGCCAACAAAATCCAGATAACTAAAAATGCCAGTCAAATTGATAATAGGCATGAGCAGTTCAAAAAGGTGTACAAATTTCATAGCAGCAGGGGCCTACATTTTTAAAGGAATCCTGCTTCCCTGGGTCCTTCAAAGGAGTCTAAGTATGGATCACATTTCCATTTTTACCATTTGGGAAATATAGCCCTTATTCAGAAATACTGCAATAAAGTATGAGTTTAAAATAATGTTAGTCCTTCCCCTAGATGAAAAGTCATATAAAAATGTGAGAAAATATTGACAAGATGAAACTTTTGCTTCTTCTGAAGTCTGCAGTGAACTGTACTTCCACATTAGCAACTGTTAAAATTCTACCTAATTGGGAAATACCAAAACAGCAAGTGAGCATGCAGAGAAGAGCATAGCGGAGAAAGTTAAAAGCTGAATTTCCTCTCTGGAAATTTTTCTGACTCTGATATTTTAGAAAGAACAAATTTTATTCAGTTTTCTATGTCCTCATCCATTTCTGAAGAGGAAGTCAGGAAGAAATTCTGCACAATTGCATTTATGCATAAACAACCTGCCCTACAAAATGACCTGAAACAACATATAATATGTCCAAACTACCAACACAAGAATTTATTAAAAAACATCACCAGAATATTTCAGGCAATGTGTCTCTCTAACTGCAAAGATCACTCAGTGGTTTGACACATTTTTCTAGAGATGTTTCAAGGACTGGTGTGTTACAAAACAAAACACAGAATTATAAAGTCATTTGGGTTGGAAAAGGCCTTAAAGATGATACACATTACCTAAATACAATGTCTGTGGACTGAAGAATATTTAAAAATAGGGTTTCTACTTTTAAATAATTTTTAAAAAAATTCTACTATTTTTTACACAGATATCACAGGAAACTGTGACAATAAGAAGATACTGAAGTGTCAACTCATAGTTTACAAAAGTGTTTCTCCTGAATCACATGAAATTACATGTTCTAACTTAGGCTTTTTAGGGTTTCAATCAACTTTGGGACCTATCTTTGCTCACAGCTGTTTTTTGCATGGTGGGCATTAGATAAATCCTGCTGAAAAACAAAGCCTTCCACTGTAGACACATCTTATGCCAATACAGGGCATTTTATGGCTGCATAATTTCCTCAGTGTTCTCAAGGAATGAAAGCACATGCTCCTTATAGGCACATGCATCCAAACTGCAGATTTTGCTGCTGTACTGGATTTTTCTCCCCATAGACTTGGCTGATTCAGCTGTGCTTACAAAATATAGCAGTATGGGCCACAGCAGTGCCACTCCTCACAGTGAAGGGTCTGCCTGCTCTGGCCTGTGGAAGGGCACCATGGACAGACTGCAGGCTGCCCCTCTCCCTGTGCAGCCAGCAGGGCTCAGAGTACCTGTCATGAAGGAGCCTTGAAACATGCATAAACAAAGTCAGTAGAAGTGCCTGTATTGGTCAAATTGAATCCTCTTATGGAGAAGAAAATAAGGATAAGGCATAAGGCATTAATTAGTACCACTGTTTGATCCTTACTCGTTTTTGCATGAAAGGCAGGATCAATACTATATATATTCCCAATACATCAGGAATGGCCACAGCAAAGCTGAAATACATAATCACTTCCTTTTCCTTTTTACCTAGACTTTTTTTTGGTCCTGTTTAGGCCACATAATGTTCTCAGTTTCAGCTTAGGGGTGTGACCTGCTAACACTCAGTGTCTACCTGGGCTGTGCTTCAGGCTTCTGCTTAGGGGAAACCACCAAATAAACACAATCGTGTACTTCCTTCACAGCAAAAGAAAAATACAATTAGATTCTAGAATTAATAGAACTGTTCAAACTGAAGTTTGCTCTGAGAAAGGTACCTTTCTTTTTTAATTTCTGTACCTCAGTCCTCAGTATTTCCTGCTAACTATTTATACATGAAGCTATGTCCAAAGTGAACCATTAAGCCCTGGAGCCTTACCCATTGCAGCTGGAGCAAAGGAAGATGAGGAAGGTGAGGAACAAGAGTGTTGTCATGGCTGCCAAACTTCCCCACAGGATTACGTGGATCTGTCCAGTGCCTAAAAAAACACCCTCTAGCCCCATGGTACTAGCAGGAGCTGGGATCACTTGGGGTTGAAGAAGTTACTCCTTGAAGAAGACTGACATCTGTGCTGCATGCACCTTCTGTTTCTGCAGAAGGAAAGAAAAACACCATCAGAGGTTAAGAGAAATTTTGAAGATAATGAATCTGACAGCTACAAGTCTGGCAGGAGAGATTTTCAAATCCAGATCTTATGAAAACCAGTTTCAAGTACAAGCCAGCCAGCCAAAGAGATTTTCAGCTACATTTCTGACAGTAACATAGAACAGATCTGTCAAATATTAACACAAGCTGTTACCTATCTACAATCTCAATGTGAATAAAAGGTAGTACAGCATCTCTGCACTTGTATCTTCAGGAAAAGATTCATAAATCTGCTTTGAGGGCCAGACTAATCTATTTTGTGGTTATATTTGCAAATTTCATTGAAAAGTGAGCTTTCAAAAACATCTACAACTTCTGCAAAGTTAACAAGCCAAAGAGCTGCAGCAAACATTCACCTCCTTCTCTCTCAGTCTCTCCTGCCTGCATGTGATTGGAGGCTTAAAGTGCAGTGACAAATAAAGCAGGTAAGTCTTTGAAAGGAATACCACAAACACCTTTCTCACAGCAGATAAGATCCCGTCTTATTTCTGTGTGACATCCTTATTTTCATAATAGTGTGTCTGGAGAGTAACAATACTGAACTTTCTTTTTTAGCTTCTCCCCACCTGAGTCTGAGAAACAACAGAGCAAAGTAAACAGGGTGTTTTTTAAGAACTTGAATAAATACAACTACACTACAGCACAGCAGTCCATGGGGAAGACTCCTGGGTAAACCTTACTTGTGACATACAAGTTTTGGTACACAATATATTCTAAAATTCTGTACATACATTTAATGCAATACATTGTTGACATAGCAAAACTAAAAAGAAGTTATTAATTCTTCACTGCTGAAGGTATCAATTCCTCCATAATTTGGGAACAGGTTATGCAAAGCCTATTTACAGGCTTTCAGCCTAACTTGATTGATAAAAACTGAAATAGAATACAATTGCTAAGAAATGAGGAGATATATTTTGGGAATGAAAAAGTAGCACAAATATAAGATTGACAATGTCTAAAGCCACTAATGACTTACTTCAATGCATACATTTTCATAGAATTTCTTTTTTGGTATAGGAAATTTGTATGTAGGTATATTTATTTCTGTGCAGCAGAAGCATCCTTTGTAAAAACAAATTCAACTAGGTACTAATATCATACTTGTATATAAAAACATATCACCATTTTCTTATTAAAATCTTACAAGAAAAGAAGATTTATCCCCAGAAAAAGGCCACTCAGATCAAAGTAAATCTGGTGAATCAGAGAAGATATTAGCTACACATAACAACTAAGTTAGGTGACTGGGTAGTTTGGGTAGCTCTTACAAGTAACATTTCTGTTCCTGCATAAAATGAACCCATTAATTTCAACCATGCAGGATCAGACTTCTGAACACCTTCCAAGAAGAACTTTACTAATTTATCCACAGTGGATAAATGCTTTTTTAAAAAAAATTTCCTTTTAGGTAATAATGACATTGGATATAAATTGAAATGGGAAGAAACAAACAAAAGATGGGAGAAGTTGCTGATCCTGAAAATGACCAATTTCAAGGTGTAGTTAAATATTTTTAGTTTGGGCAAGAAAGAAGAAAGCCAGACATTGTGTAACTTCTCCAAATCCCTAAATACACAGGAAGAACAGGTGCCACACACCTTGGCAAAGCACAAACATCTCACTGGTAGTTTTGAGCACTGACAGCCAAGAGCCACCACTCCTCAGCAATGACCACTGCCAGGCAATGTGCCTCTCTGCTTATCCTGGCAGAGCCTGGAAAAGCAAACATTTAAAAGCAGAGGCAGTTGTGTATGCAGCAGATGACACAGCTCTGCCTCATCCTTATTTTAAAGCCCAGGTTGGGTTAATTTCTACCGTGAGTCACAGTCATAGCACTGGCTGTGAAATGGAGAGACCTTAAGGGAAACTGAATCAGGTTTAGTCAGGAGAAAACTTGGTGTAATGCCCACAAATACCTCTGTGATGTAATGCAAGGGCACTGTGCACTGGAATGGATTCCTGTAAAGGTGATGGACTGTCCTCATCCAGAAAACATTACAAAGCACACTGTGCTGGCTGCCTTAACTAGCCCCAAACCATTGTTAAGATGGTTGAATAGAAAGTACTTCCCTTTTAAGCTTTTCTTTTTTGTGAATTTTCAAAGACATTTTCTGCCCTGCTAAAGCTTAAAATTCATGAAAAATCTTTTTGTTTCTTTTGTCCAATCCTTTTGCCTTCAAACCCCTCTAATTTTCTTTTTTCCTTGGGAAAGAAAAAATGAAATGAAAATGGAATATAAAGACAAAGGAAACTAAGCAAAATAATTTTTCAGCATTTTTGTTATCTTTTTTCCTTAGTTTTCCCAAGAAATAAAAAGAATGCAAATGAAAACAAGAAACTATTTTTTTAATATTGAAATAAAGAAGGAGAGAAAGAAAGAAAGAAAGAAAGAAAGAAAGAAAGAAAGAAAGAAAGAAAGAAAGAAAGAAGAAAGAGAATAGGGCTTTAAAGTACTTTTCTTAAAACAGAAGCACATTTTTATTTTATTTTAGAGCAGACACAGACCTGTCTTGAAAGATACTTAAATTATTTCTACTACTAAGTTTATAACTTTGTATCTACTCTGAAGAAGGATACTATACTCTCAAAAAACTAAGTAATGTAATTTAAGCTAATACTGTAAGGAAAGTGGGTTTTTAAAATTCTGAATATATATTCTGAAGTTTCCATGGCTTTAAATAAAGATAATATTTAAGCTAAGGAAAGCTAAGGCTACATGGGGAGCAGCCCCATGGAAAAGCTCTGTCTTTGAAGGCTTCAGTACAGAGTTAGGAAGTGTTGGTCTGAGCCAGAGCAGATGGAGCTCAGACTGAACTTCAAAAGGAGTGAGATCAGAAGGAGTCAGTCAAGGAAGACCTCTATGAGTGATGTCAGGAGTGAAGCACAAGACATGAGGCATCCCACCAGGCAGAAGTCAAAGCAGCAAAGGGAATGACCAAGGCCAGATGATGTAGTTAATTTACAAGAAAGAAGCACAAAATGCTTTGACTGTACGCTGAGAGAAAGAGGTCAGAACAGGACAGAAAAGCACAGTGGCACTTGAACCAGGGGAGGTGACTGCTGCAGACACCTGTGCAAGCAGAACAGAGAAATAACAGGAACAGACTGATGACAGGTGAAGCCCTGAATGAAGGAAGCCGACCAGGCAAAACGTGACAAGTGATTCCTCTCAGCTCCTTGAACAGCAGGAGTTTAGCATAAGTGCTAAAGGACCTAGAATCTGCTCAGCACACATGACAACCAGAAGTAAATACAATTATAACATAAAAACACCTCAGCCTGCCATACCTAAAGGGGACTCAGAAGAAAACTAGTGAGGGACTTTTTTTAAAGGGCATGTAGTGATGGAACAAGGGGGAGTGGCTTTAAACTGAGAGTAGATTTAGACTAGATCTCAAAGGAAATTTTTTTACAGTGAGGGTGGTGAGGCACTGGAACAGGTTGCCCAGAGAAGTTGAGCATGCCCCATCCCTAGAAGTGTTAAACACCAGCTTGGATGGAGCTCTGAGCAACCTGGTCTAGTGAAAAGTGTCCCTGCCCTGGCAGGTGAATTGGAACTGGAGGACCTTTAATGTCCCTTCCAACCCAGGCCATTCTATGATTCTGTGGTTCTAGATTAACCCTCTGTGAACCCTTATCATGTAATGACATCAGAGGGCTTACTCCTTCTGTTTAATGCCTCCCAAAAAATTAGGCTGAAATCATATTCACCCAGGCTGGGGAATATTCCAGGAGAGCTCCTGGAATGCTTGAAGCTGGACCAGCACCCATCAGCTGCCCCAACCAGCTCTGGACAGAAACCTGGCAAAGACATAGATTGAAAACACAACTGCCTGAACTCCCTCTGCTTCCCTACGTGAAAGTCTGGACACTAAAACATCAATACCTTGGATTTAGGAGATGTTCCTGAGGCTAGCTTTAAAGAGAAGCTTATTTGAAATCATAACGATGGAACAACAAGCAGCTAATTAATTTTTAAGAGCTTTCTGACGGCTGAAACGATTCACTCCTGCTCCTACAATAGAAAGTGATATTGTGCTGCCCTCTGGTGAATGTCTCTGTTCGGGGTCTGGGATTTGTGGCTCTTACGAGGTGCTTCAGAGCTCGGTGCAAACTCTGGAGTTCAGTGGGGCCCTTCATTTGTCAGCCTCAAAACCTGAGTCCTACCTCCACCCCTGGAAGTCTGTCAGACTCAAATAGTTCAACCTTGCAGACAGACACTGCTGAGACAGAACAGTGGTCAATGGAACTGTTTGGGGTTTTAGAAATTATTTTCCTGTGTGACAGCCTTTTAAAGATGAAGATTTCTTCCACTGTACCCTTTCCACAGAACTCTGCACACAAGTTGTTGGGGATACTGAACTCAAAGAGAATAACAGAAAAAGGCCTGGAACATGAGGCTAAGAAACCTGGTTATTTAATCTATGGCAAAATCTAAACAATAGTCTGCATTCACATGTCAAAGTCACTACCAGTTCAGAAAACTAATCTTTACACTATATTGGATAAAATTTTTTCTTCTTGAGGGAACTTCTTGCTTTTTAGACATCAATATTTGCCATTACTGAAATCCCTATGATAAATGATGCCTGTAGCCATTCCTCAAAATTGCACTTAAACGCCCAATTATATTTGTGGTTTCAAAATGACAGATATTTTGTTGCATAAGCCACGCTTTTATGGTGAATAATGTGTTATTTTTGCTTGCGGCTGTTGCAGGGATAAAGCAGAGCTGAGGCAGTTCAGGATGATGTGATGATGAAGAGAATGCAATTTTGGTTCCAAAAAACCTGTATCTGCAGTGAAGCAGATAGACAGGCTGCAACTCTAGGGAGCACATGAAGCATCAGTTTTAACTGGTGGGGAAGCTGCTGCTCCCCAAAAGTCTGGGGTGAGACCCGAACA